TCCATGGGTTTGTCATATTCTCATTTGTTCCTTGTTGATTTTAAAAAGCATTATTCCATGTGTTTAAATTTTAATTTGGAAGTTCCTACTTTGTGGGTCTATCTGATGTATTTGTATAACATACAAATTTCACGTTCTAATTTTAAAATGAGGAAATGATATGCAATCGATATTCACACAAAGGATTTTGTTGTTAAAACATATTGTCAGAGATACTCTCTCTTTAGGAATTTAATTTAGGAGGGACAAGATCCTTCAATAAGAGTTTCCATTCAGATGTACCCTTTTTCTTAAAATGTTTGATTATGTGTTGAGAACATATCGTTATGGCTACTAGTAAATGAAGCTTTGGTTGGGTTGGTTCTTAATTCAGGTCATTTAAGTTTTATTAATAATCATCTTATGTTTAGGAATTTTGCTTTCAGTAAAGTTCTCTTTTTTTTTCTCTTTTTTTGCTTCAAAGCTCAATTAGTTTTTTTAAAAGTCCTCTTGAGTGTATTTGGTGATTTATAAAATCTATAGTTATTATTGACAGTCATTATGAGTTTCTTATGCGGAAGGTCATTTAATATACTAATGATAAAACTTTTTCTTCTTTTATTCTTTTGAGGTAAGGTATTATACCTTTTTGGTTTTTATAGTTTTTGTGTGATCGTTCATTAGTATAGTCTTGGGGTGTAAATCTCATGTTTATCCCATCAATAATTTCTCTTTGTCCATTCAAGAGAAAGCTTTCATGTGTTATGGTTCATGGGTCTACAACACACTTCCGCTGTGCCACTTTGATACTGTTGGCTTTAAGGGTTTATCTTGGTATGTTTCATCCATTTTTGTGTTTCCTTTTGGAATGAAAGAATTACATTCTAGATTTATTTTTATATTATCAATGATTTAGGGTCATAACATGTCCTTAGGACATCCTCTTCTTCTTTAGAACTTAATTTAGGAGAAATAAAGACTTTCAAGAATATGAATACTAATAAGGGAAATAGGAGGTTAAATGCTGCCTCGCCTCGTAAAATAATTATCTATTATGAAAACCCAATA